GCAAATGGATTTTAATATTATATATATCATTTTTGTAAGTCTTTTTGTACAATTTTTACCAGTGACTAATTTTGTAAATGTTATGCAGAATGTTATATTATTTTTTTATTTTGTATAAAGCCATAATTTGAGTTTGAGGCTGTATTTCTAACAATTATAAGCAAGCCAATGTCTAATGCACTGGAGAAAATGTATATAAACATTAACAACTCATTGAGATGTAGGTAGTTTATTTGTGAAGTGGATGTTTGAGACTGATTCATGTTTAAGAGTGAAAAGTAATAAAATCTTGCACACATTGTTTGCTAATGTATATAATTATACTAAACCACAGCTACAGAATACTGTACTTGTAAAATGTAGTTTAAAAAATTGAATGTAAATTCTGTAAGGCTAGGGTGCAGGTCATTGAAACTAGTGCTACAGCTCTATAGTTCAAGCAAGCAGAAATTATCGACCAAGTTAGTAAACATAATTTTGTATACAGTCGTGACGGAGTCAAGATCCGTGCTTATAAAGTTAGACCTTCTTTAACCAAATACATTGCAACTATGGAGACAGTGCAAATTGCAAGAAAGACTTGCAGTCGTATTGAATTGTGTACGTTGTCAAATCATTGGCTCTGTGATATGGTGCTATAAATTGTGATTTTTTTTTTTCTCCTCTGAATGGTTGAGTCTTAAGCATGGTTTTAACACATAATTAATGGCAATTATGATAAATATTGACAAGGTTTCACACAGGCTTTGCTTCTTGGTTTGTACATCTGCTACAACCAATCACAATAAAGTAGTTTCGACAGAGTATAACAAGTCGCATATCCATGGGTAGCCATGGTGGAATACACCCACCCCAAACAATTGATAGGTATTTTGTAAGAGCTTTTTTCATAATTTAAAACAGAATTGCCACATATACAGTACCGGTATGTTGTAATTCTTCTCTGCTGTGAAAAAATTATTTTTATATTTTAATGGCACATAATTTCGGTGTTACTGATGCAGGCCCATCCTGTAAACCTATGTAGCTATTCTGTACGTATCAATTAAATGTTTTTCATCATATGTGTTAAGAATGTCTCATCAGTTTTGTATTACTACCCTACATGGAACAATACTAATATGTTTATCAATATCAGTTAGATCAATAATCAAAATTTGATTAATACTTTCTTTTTTTTTCAATTTTATTAAATAATTTTGAAAAATATAGGGGGTGGGGGGGCTTGTCGTCTCGCCCTCCCCTTTCCCCTCCTTGAATCAGCCACTGTTAAAGGGGAAAAAACATCAGAATTGACTGCCGACGCCGAGCAGTGAGATATTGCAAATGAACGTTAAAATAATGGTGGTGATGATGCTGACGATGATGATGGTGGTGATGATGATGATTATGATGTAGACAAGGGGACCCACCTGGCCCGGGGCGCCCCTCCCTCCCTTTTTGAAAAAAAAAAAGAAAAAATTGATCCCCCAAAAGGCCTTAGCGGTTATTTTCCGGCATCTAGAACACAGCAATTTTGCTGGGGCATGCCCCGACTCCTAGAGTATTGTTATTTCGATCGGACCCACTTTCGGCCTTCTTCCGGCATCTCCTCCCCCTTTTAGTACATCTCTGGATCCGCCCATGGTAGATGATGATTATAATAATTAAATTGTAGTGTACGACATGGACCTGTAAAAAATGGGTGGGGTCAGGTCTCATGTAAAAACATTTGGGGAAGGGACTAACGGCCTCATGATTTCAATCTCCCTTGCCTAGTTTCTTTCAATCGCATTATCCTCTTCCTCCGTTGGTCAAATTCTGACGCCGCCGTCCCTAGCCTCTATATCAGATTACCATTCCCATGTTTTTTAATGATTACTCGCGATTGGAATCGTGTATGCTTACGACACAAAATTAACGGTGTGAGAAGACGACGGAAAAATTATGTTTTCTTACTTCTCGTAAAATATAATGAATATCATCAATGTCATTCACTTATTTTTCAGTAATCCTATAATTTGTTTATAATAGAATTTGTGATATACATTTTTGCTTAAAAGCGATTAAGATGTACAAATCATTACCATTTTAAAATTCTTTATTAATCGCAAATATTGTGGTGTTTTGCTTTTCTTTTGGGAGGTTTTGTTGATTTGTTTAAATATAAAATAATGTGAAATGGAATCTGTAGATTTTTCATAGCAGCATCTTCACCAGTATTACCTAATGTGACGAACATTTTGTTGACCAATCTAACTATTCACCTACATTATGCCAATCATTTTCATTTGGACTGAAATAAAATTAAATAAAAATTCCGCGTTTGCAATACTGAAATACTTTACCTTGTACGGTATAGTGCGATACTGTAGGCCTACAGTACGCCTAGATACATAAAATACGATGACGTTTATAATGCTCACTGAAGCATGGACTGGCCTGGGAATACTGTAGTTAGCATAAATAGGAAACCTTAGCGACGACGTACATTTACATTAGTCGTTTTATTGCTATCAATATAAGATTATGTTTCTGACAGTAGTACTTTTTTTCTGTTTATTGTTGTAAAACTCAGTTACCAGGGAATATGGAAATAGAGCTTTTGAGGGTATGAGATGTACGGGCTTGCACAGTCGATAATTAGAAAGAAGGTATCAGTAAAATTATAGGCCTAATCACAAAAATATAAAGAAACGCAAAGGCAAGGATATTGTGAACTCGTTTGCAAGTTCCTGAGTATTCACTGACTAGAAGTGTACAGTTAATATTGCTGTCAAGGCTGACAATGTGAATGCATTGCTTATTTAATATGAGATGCTTATTTAATATGAGATGGTGAAGGTTCTAGAATGAAATGGGATCGTCCGTTCTGTGACGTAATGGTTTGTTTTTGATATTCGTCGATCGAGAATATTCGTCTTCCTTCGCTCTAACCGCGAGAGGTTATAAATATGACGGTTTGTAGGGTCTTCCCACGATAAGGAAAATAAACTTTCACGGATCCTTAAAGGTTACATAATTGTGAAAACCACAACAGTTTGTGTGAATAGTACGAACATAGCTATTTATTTTGCAGCATTGTAAAAAATGGCGAGAAAAGCTCCAGCAATCGGAATAGATTTGGGAACAACATATTCATGTGTTGGTGTTTTTGAGAACGGTAAAGTCGAGATTATTGCCAACGATCAGGGCAACAGGACAACACCTAGCTATGTTGCTTTTACAGAAACCGAAAGGTTGATAGGAGATGCTGCCAAAAACCAAGTTGCAATGTAAGTTATTATACGTTGATATAGTTTTTAATAGATTTATTGATGTTATAGTGTTTTATTATTATGTTTGCTAAAATAGATTATTTTACTAGTGCTCTAGAAACCCCTGGGTGGATGTGGGGTTGAAAAATAAGCCTTTGAGGGAATCAACTCTCGACTGATATTGAAGGAGAAGTATATGAGGAATGACATTCTTCTTTCTGACGTATTGTCGTACTGCATGCCGTGAACTCAATATATTTTTCTCAAATAGGCCTACTTGCGAAAAAACTCGCAATCCGGTGAGAATCGAACCCATGACTTCCAGCTAACTAGGTAGCTTTGCGCTATAGACCATCGAGCTTGTGTTTAGTGCAGTAGTAACGTCTGAACCCAATCAGAAAAATAATCAAAAACAACTCATATCAAATTGAATGTTAAATCACATTAGGGATTCTCCAGAAAAAAGTATTAATTCCGTTAGTTAGATAGATAGACATGTCTCCCTCCAATTAAAGACCATTATTGGGCCAGGGATTTCATGGTCTTTAGCAACGTTCTTTTATAATAATAAAGATAAAAGACATTTGTTAATATGTATGGGTGTCGTTTGGTGGGGACAGGAAGACACCCCCCCCCTACTTTTTAAAGTATGGGGAACATCACATCAGTTGTCCAACAATAACAATACAATAACAATTACAATTACGCATGACTGTCATGAATTTTGTCTGTTCACTTTTCCAAGTGAGGTACGTATTTCCGGACCAAAACCGAGTAAAAACTCAATTGTTTGTATTTCGTAACAATCTCAGTAACCATTACATCGATTTTATAGATGCAATGGGAAAGGTTATCAGAGGCTAAATTTATTGTAAAAACAATTTACTGTACGTTTTTAAAATTGGAAGCGTGTAGGCCAATATTTTTACAAACTTAAAAGTGCACAATTTCTACTATAAACGATTTATTCCTTTTTTATATTATTATGACCCGTACCTATGGCCTATATACTAGTGTATAATATTATCTGCATACATAGGTTCCTGTTATTCCTAATTTCCAAAAATTAGAGTTAATTGAATTTTATATACCCGTTATTGAACAATAATTATACAGCCTTTTACATGGACAGGTCTATTTCGATTTATTTAATTAGTGATATCACGAGTTTACAAACTCCAGTGTTACGTTGACGTAATCTCGCAATGACGTCGTAATAATCAAAATTTAAAAAAAATTCCGGCCATCTAGGAGTGTCATAATCATAAATTTTCTTACCTCAGCCCTAACCATCGTGGGGCTGAGGTGGTCTAGTTTCCCAAGTTGTGAAAGTCCCTCCCTGCCCCCCCCCCCCCCCCAACTTCT